TTCCCACTTATATCCCAGTTCCCACTTATATCCCAGTTCTCACTTAGATCCCATTTCTCACTTTGATCCCAGGCCCTGCTTAGGTCCAGTTCCCACTTAGATCCCAGCTCTGTTTAATGAGGCTATTTGGTGATTCTGGTAGCGGGTGAGTGAATGATACGTCTTCGAAGGCTTCTTACTTTATTTGCAAAGTCGTGGTGGGTACACAGGCTTGTGTGTTGTGCCCATGGCCCGGGAAGGGCCATGCCCACGAGGGAGAGAGATAGTAGGCCTTGTGTCTTGCTGCTAGGCCGCTGTGAGAGTGAGAGAGTGTGGGACCAGCGTCCCACAGACCTGGGCAGCACCTGAGTGGCGCGAAATATGAACTAAGCCGGCAGTCAGCATAGGCTGTCTGTGCAGACAGTACAGGCTGTCTACACACGCTCGGCCACCTACCTCACGTCGTCCCGATGCTACAATACTGGTGGTAAAAAAAAACTCGGTCTCTCTCTCGTAGGAACAGGGCACAGAACACAAAATAAAAAACATATGTATACATATGGACATGAAAAAAAAAACTTCCTACAGGGAGGGAAGAAAAAAAACATGTGGGGTGTGCTAAACATCGTGGTCATAGGCAGTGAGCGTCGATGGGCATCACTGCACGCCTTCCTGTGTCTGGACGATACTGCAATGCAGGAGACATTGCTGCTGCTGAGCTGTGACATAACAGTTTATGGTCTCCTCTAGAACAGTGAAGCAGTCATCGTAGGAGTCACTGCAGGTTTAACTCAACCTGGGGCATGACATGCTGGTGCCCTCGAGTGAGGCGGCATCAATACTCGGCAACTGGGCAGGACTTCTGGCAAGCGACTCAGTACTGGCAAGCGACTGGGTGAAACATCTGGGAGTCGTAACATCATACACCAGACTGCAGTGAGCGAGCTAGCAGCCAAAGTGACATCTTCATTGTGCAGGAGCTCACTGAAGCTTGTGACACGAGGCTGACATAGTGCCTGCCGACAGGGCTAACTGCGGCTTGACGAGTGTCTTTCACTCGGCAGTTGGAGTTATAGCAGAGGTTAGTCTAAGCATCCCCAGACTTGTTTCTCTACATATAACTGCACTCTGAAGGTCTGGAGGTGAAGTGAAACAAATCTCGATGGGAATCGTAGCAGGTACAATTCTGCAGAACAACTATGAGCGACGAGCATAAGAGCTTTCTTTACAAATGGGCTCATATGCTCAGGGGCTGAGTAATATCAGCTGTCAAATGCACTGGTCACACCGGGTGACAACACAAGGTGCTACACAGGGGACTGACTGCAGACCACACTGGACACATGGAAAACTTTACACACACCCGCGGTATATGTGGTACAACATGGCTTAACTAGCAAATGATGCTTTTCTGTGCACAAAACTGACACTAAGCCATACACTAACATGTGAGAACACTGACTGAGAGGAATTAATTAGCTCATGACATATATCTTCTCTCAGTCTTCTCGACAATACTGAAATATTTACTGAAACACTCGATGTGACATCATATGATGTCAGGTGTGACGTTGCGAGGTGACATCAGCAGCATTGTGACGTCATGAAGTCGGGCAGCAGCATCGGTGACATCAATGTGATGCAGGCAGCAGCCCACAGCATGAGGCCTGGGACATCTGGCTTAGTAACCCATGTGGCTTATAGATCCACGTGACATTGCCCACACCCCACGTGGCATCGGGATCCACGTGGCGTCGTGATCTACATAGCATGCTGATCCACATGGCTTGCTGATCCACGTGGCTTGCTGATCCACATGGCTTGCTGATCCACGTGGCTTGCCGATCCACGTGGCTTTCTGATCTATGTGGTATGCTGATCCACATGGCTTCGAGTGGCCTCGGGCACTCTGGCAATGAATTCACATGAAAAATTGCAGAAAACACAGCAGAGTGATGGCGTAGTGGTGTATGGTAGTGTGGTGGCGAGAAGCATGGGTGAGTGTATGGCAAGGGAGCATCTGGCCACTTCTTTCTCTCAAACCCACAACACAGCGAAACGCACACTGGACGCAGAAATCACCACAAAACTCACCTCTGGCTTGCTGAAATAACTGTGCTGAGCTGAACAACAACAGCAACATACATGTGATGCTGAACACGTGACTTGAGAAACAGCGTGGGACTCTGTAGTGTGGGGTCACTGGGACGTCACTTACAGTTCTCGAAGATATTTGGTAAATTTCGGCTAGATCCTACTTGTACCTGAGTCTGGATACTGAAACGTGCAGACACAACATCAGGATAACTCGTTGAGAGACGGATGCTTCTTGTATAGGGTGATAAAGTGAAGATGACTTCATTCCTTCCTTCCTCTCTCCAGGCAAACACAACTGCTGCGACCACTGCTTCCCACCAATGTTAAACAGATTATTGGTAAGGCACTGGCGTGGAGTGAATTATAGACATCGTCGGAGGCTTCTTTACTTTATTTGTAATGTAGTGGTGGGTACACAGGCTTGTGTGTTTGTGCCCATGGCCCGGGTAGGGCCATACCCACGAGAGGGAGAACTAGTAGGCCTTGTGTCTTGCTGCTAGGCCGCTGAGAGAGTGTGAGCGTGTGTGACCAGCGTCCCACAGACCTGGGCAGGCCTAAAGGGCAGCACCTGAGTGGCGCAAAATATGAACTAAGCTGTGCAGACAGTACAGGCTGTCTACAGCTTCCACTTAGATCCCAGCTCCCACTTAGATCCTAGTTCCCACTGAGGTCCCAGCTCCTCCTTAGATCCCAGCTCCCACTTAGATCCCGTCTTCCACTTAGATCCAAGCTCCCATTTAGATCCCATCTTCCACTTACATCCCAGTTCCCACTTAGATCCCAGCTCCCACCTGGTTCCCAGCTCCTACTTAGATCCCAGCTCCTACTTAGATCCTAGCTCCTACTTAGATCCCAGCTCCCACCGAGATCCCAGCTCCCGCTTAAATCCCATCTTTCACTTGGTTCCCAGCTCTCACTTAGATCCCATATTCCACTTAGAACCCAGCTCCCACCTGGTTCTCAGCTCCCACTTAGATCCCAGCTCCCACTTAGATCCCAGTTCCCATTTGAATCCCAGCTCCCACTCAAATCCCAGCTCCCACTCAAATCCTAGCTCCCATTTGGATACCAGCTCCCACTTAAATCCGAGAAATTAATCCTTCATTAACTTTTCTCACCATAATTTATTTTTTCTTTTTATTTTGTTTCAGTCTTGTTTAATTAGAAGTCACATATTTTCAATTAATTAATGAAATATTTTTTTCTTTATAAGATCAATATATATCCTTTTTTAAGTATTTTTATTTATATATGTTTATCTTTTTTTCATAAATTAAGGAAAATAGATATCTACACCTTTTGGGTTCCATTCCTCACAGTTATCAACGTTAGACTCGACAAACTGAAGAAGCGCCACCTGTATTGTATGAAAATAATATCTTTATTTACTACAAGTACATGTATAAGGTATACAGTCCATAGCTGACATCAGTAACATATTACTATATACAAAAGCGGCTGCGATGCGACCCACACCAATCAACTAATACACAGGTACCCATTTTAAACTGATGGGTGAACATGGACAGTAGGTGTCTTATGGAAATACGTCCCTTGTGTTTTTCAGCCCTACCGGAAGAGATTCGAACCCGGGACCTCAGTGTGTGTGGGCTCAGTGCACTAGCGATCGAGCTACGGGACACCTATATGAAGGATATCAACTTTCCCGACAGAGAAAATGAACCCCAAGCGGTCAACACAGTACAGAAGAAATAGGAGGACACTTCAGTGAAAAGTGAGAAAGTAAACTCACACGAATGAGCTCCCAGAGTCCTGGATACTGAGTCATCTACCAGAAGACAAAGACTGGACAATTCGAGAGCCTGTCCATGTGCCCAGTTAATGGTCCATATAGGACCGAAATGTCATCGCAAGCCTCTGTCTCCTATGTGCTTTCTATGCCTATTATTCCAGTCACCTGTGCTTCCAGAAAATCAATGAAGACAGAATATTGAGCATAGCAAGTGCCAAGCAGTAAGTCTGCTGTGTTTCTATCCTGCGCCCACACTTCTCCAGAGTTGTGATCTGCGACCACAATAGCTCCAAGAATACCGCACTTAACGTGCGTGTATGCACGTATACATTGTTTCCTGTACACTGGTACACTGGTACACTGGTACACTGGTACACGTGAGCTGGTCCGTGCGGTAAGCAGTCTAAATATTTAAATGTAAACTTAAAACATAAATTACACTTAATATTCCCTTAAGGAAGGTTCCTTGATGCTGGTGAGAAGCTCTAGATCTAGGGAATTGGATATATGCTCCATTTCCCTGAATTAAGCCTGAATACCTTCCACATTCCACCACAGGCGCTGTATAATCTTATGGGTTTAGCGCTTCCCCTTGATTATAATAATAATTATACACTTCATATCAAAAGAGGATGAGCCACTTAGTTTTGACCACCTTCTGCTTTCCATCTCATACGTACTCATTTTCCATCTTTCCTCACCTTTATTTCTTTCTCCTCCTTACCAGATCGCTGATCAGAGAAACAAAGCGAAGGCTTCCACAAAGCTCAGTACACTGTTACAATAGAGTCAACAAGGCTGATTATCCACCAGGAAGGTGTGTCGTGACTTTGTACCTAACTGAACAAGTGTGTGCACTAAGATTTATTAAAATTGTTATATTTTCTCTACTCTCTCCAAAATTAAATCTCAAAATTTATAGATTACTCATTGTTACCATTATTTTGACCAATGTAATCACTGGAATATTCCTCATACTTGCTTTGAAAGTAATACCGTTTTTTTTCAAAACGATGTTGCATGACCCACTTACCATTCTCACTAGGGAATGTTGAAATAGAAGGTCGAGAGTATTAGTCTCGACCCATGCTAAATTTGTAATTGTAGGGCTTAATTAAATGATTCCGTCAAAAGTCTAACAAACATAATCGTTTAACGTATGAGCACCTACCTCGTTAAACATGTGGTTTATCACTATGAGGTCAAACTCTTTCCTCCTCTCATAAAGTTCCTTCACCACAGGAACTTCGTACAGGTCCCTGGCGAGGGTTGGCAGTACAGTCTTCATGAGCGATAACGGGCCAGTCAGTGTCTTACGGCGGTCGAACATGTTTACTTTGTCTTCTTTCATGATATCGAGGGCATGAGTGGTCTCGTAAATGTTGGGATGTTTGGATGACTTCGGGTGGTTGGTCAGCATCACTATCTGCAGATTGTTTGTGGATAGAATGTTGAGGTAATGTTTAATACTGGGGAAAGGATGTTAAAATTGTATTGAGTACTGGAGAGACGACATAAAATGAAAGCCAAGTGGTGTTATTATAATAATGATAATAATAATCTTCATTTAAAGAGAACGAAGCAAAGAATAGGTAAAGGATTAGTTGACGTTATTAACTTGCTTCATAAAAAGTCTTTTGATTTTGTAAATATTTTTGGCAGCATTAAAATTAACTTATAATCTCTAAATAATTATTTTAAGTTATATGTCCGAAATACTATAGTTTGCAATCTTTAACATTAACTCTAATAATTTTGTTTATGATTTATGACATTTTTGGATTTTTTTTATAACAAATTCTCTGACGTTTGTAGTGGTTATTAAATATACTGAAATATATTGATGATAGTGGGAATGATAATATGAACATTAATCTGATATGGACAAAGTTCCTGTTGATAAAACAGTTGGTAAGATTATTATATCTATTAGCTTAAACACATACCAGAGAATACTAGGTCAACTTATTGATACCCATGTAGTATTTAGCCTGTTTGTCTTGTAACAGGTTTGTCAGTATCTGTTCTTCAACTCACACTAGCAGGTTTGTCAGTATCTGTTCCTCAACTCACACAAGCAGGACTACTTATATCTGAAGACCGTTTTTAATAAGGAGGAGTGAGAAATTACCTGGGTGGGGTGAACTGGTGTGACTTGACAGGTCTTTTCCTGTGAGTCATGTAGGCTGTGATGGCTGCCAACATGACACCTTTCAAAGCATATTTCAAGCCGACCAGTCTTTATGTTCGAAATAAGGAAATTATATCATACAAAAATGAGCCTAAATGGATAAACAATAGATTAAAATATCTCATAGGTCAAACGAGGAATGTACAGGAGAATCAAAAGGAAAGAGAGGCACTGAAAAATTAATATATTCAATTTAAAAGGTAAATAGAAAGGAATTAAAGAAGACAAAAGAGATTAAGAAGTTAGTCAACAGGTTCAAGTTGAAAATATGTAGATTTAGAAAGGATACGGGAACGCATTGGTATGGTAATAGTTGTGAATGAGAGGAACACTGAAGTTACTGAAGTAGCGTCACTGAAATCGAAACCTTGAGTAGCTTTAAAAATAGGTTAGATAAATACATGAGTGTGTGTGAGATGGACCTGATTAGCTTGGGCCAGTAGGCCTGTTGCAGCTCTCTTTTTTATGCTCTTATTTATTTAAATGGGAGAACAAATAATATGCACAAAGCAATCGCAAGCAACACAGCGTCAGGCAAGAGACACCAAGCCTACGTAACACGGGACAATCGACATGTCATTAGTCGAAAGTAAAAACAAAATTAACTCCCAAATTACTCGATGTTAGTTAAGCAACTTTGTAACCCTGACTTCGACAGTGAATGGATATTAGTCAGGACACGTTAGATCGAGAGTTAGAATCGTATTGTCTCTAAATATGTCTCTAGGACCATAATTTTAGGGAAGACAAGAAGCATATTCTGCTTTCCAACGAGAACATACTCTACCATAAAGCTGAGACTCTGGTCTCTTCTGTCTACTACAGAAGAGACCAGAGATCACGCAGACAGGAGGAGAAGTAAAGGTCTTCCCAGTTTGATGTTCAGCCAGAGAGAGAAAGAAAGTGATGCAGCAACTGCAGGTGTGAGGTGAGGTTATCTCCCAGCTGCCCCACATGCAAAATGCATCAGAATTGACAAACTTTCGAACAAGACTGTAGCAACATGGGACATATTTATCAAAACTCTCGAAGCTGCCATCACAGAAAGTGCAGTGTGTGATACATCATACTTATCAATGTATTTAAATAAGTAAGACAACACAGATAAAGCATATTGTCATTGTAGCTGCTAATGGATATAACATTAGCGACACACTCTTAGATAAAAAGTATTTACATAATATATATGAAAGCGACTGTATATTCTGGAGTCACGTCATTGGATCAGATGGAAGTATTTATAAATTATATTTTGAAGTAGGTGACAGATAGGACTTTTTTTTGCGTCTTTTCGAAGGAAGCTCCAAATTTTAGGATCCTTTCTTGTATTTTGTCTCTGCATTTATTTTTGCAGCTCTCTAGTAAGAGTCGGAATGCTAAGCTGATCGTATGAAACAGGCAATACATGTAAAAATGCACAGTAGCAGCTATGAATATTTTATCAGGTGAGTAAGTTAAGGAGGGTGTGTGTGTGTGTGTATTATCTGAACCCAGATTTGACAATTATTTTAAGCTGATTTATCTTGGGTAACAAAAGGTTTCGGATGATTTCCTCTGGTAAATCCACAACAGTAGTACAGAGAGGCTAATATTGTACGGGGAATGTTGAATAATATATATAAATAACCTGCATATAGGAGGATAAAGCTTACGACGATGTTTTGATCCGACTTTGACCGTTTACAAAGTAACACCAAGACAAAAGACTGAGGGAACCAGAATATATAGACGAAGGGGACAGAGACGGGATAATGAGAGGAAGAAAAATTAATGGTAGTGGTAAGGCTGGTAGTGGAAATAGCAATGGTAGTAGAAAGTAGGAAGAGTAGATTTAGTAACACAAGAGATAGGAATACCCATTGTTTTGGATACTAAGTTATGTATTGGACACGAGTGTTGAATTTCGGGTTGCAGCTAACATGTATTCATAGGAATTTTCTCTCGTCATGTCTTACTCAGATAAAATTATTTATTTATACGTAAAGCTAAATATTTTTTGCTTTATTCCCAAACAACATAAAGAAAATCATGTAAATATTGAGAGTAAAGGGGTAGTACCCTAATCTGTATAAATTACTAAACATGAAAAAATTTATAACCCCGAGATATATGAATGTGCATAGATGATAAGAAAGAGAACATTGTCGGTGTAATAAATAAAAACAAAGATGGATGCACTTGTTCTAATCAAAACAAAGCTGAAAGAGGGCAGAGGAGTTTTAGCGGGAATAAATAAATGGGATTAGGTCGGGGTGTATCTGAGAGAGTTATAACTAAGGAAGGAGTTGCAAGATTATTGAATGATCATTTATGGCAGGAAGCGAGGGAATATAAATTCAAAGATGTGGATTAAAATAAAGTTTGAATGCGAAAAGTGGGTTATATTAAGTGTTTATGGCCCAGCAGAAAAGAGATCTGAGATGTTGTGTGGGTGGGTAGTTTGAACTAAGTGAGTGAGTAATTGTGGAAGGAAATCTGACTTCTAAAATGGGAGAAACGGATGTAGATGGCGTAGTAGGACAGTCTCGGGTGCCAGGAGTAAATGAATTTTGAAGATTGAGACACTTATGCAACATATGGGAGTCTTTATTCAGGAATAAAGATTCCCATATGTTGCATAAGTGTCTCAATCTTCAACTTGTCGGTTTTTCAAACCATTCATCACAAATGAATTTTGTATAGAAAGAGGTTTAGTAATAAGTAATACATATTTTAAGCAAACGAGGATAAATAAATATACGAGATATTATGTAGGGCCTAACGACAGTAGTTTGTTGGACTATGTATTGGTGTATAAAAAGTTGAGTGGTAGACTTACGGATATGCATGTTTATAGAAGGGCAATGGATATATCAGACCATTATTTAGTTGTAGCTAAAGTGAGAGTAAAAGATAAATAGGGTACGAGGAGAAAGACATCGGCGAGTAGAGAGGTGAAAGTCTATAAACTAAAGGAGGAGGTAGGTAGGGTAAGATACAAGCAACTATTGGTAGAAAGATGGGCTAATGAAAACATATAATGCGGAGGTTGAAGAGGTATGGGGTAGAAACAGGAATGCAGTGTTGAAATGAATAATTAAAGAACTATAACAAACTTGCCCCGATTTTCTAAAATCTAAAAAAAATACACAGACTGCTCCTACCTAATATTCCACAAGATACTAAACCCCTGTCAGTTTGGGCTTAGGCCGAAAAAAAAAAAACAGTTCGAATGAAGCTATTATACAAATGCACGAACTACTATATACAACCCTCGAAAAAAAAAATGAATGTCCTTTGGAGCTTTTCATAGACCTATGGAAAGCATTTGTCACACTAGAACATTACTGTCAGAGGACATTCCTTGGATTATCTAAAAACTTATCTGTGCAATAGGCACCAGTATGTATACACAAATGACGTTACTTGCACTACTCAGCCTGTAGCTGTTGGAGTTCCCCAGGGTAGTGTCTCTTTCTCTTTTGCATCAATGTTCTCCCCAGTGTATCTCAACTCCTTAAACTGTAAACAACGAGATACTAAAAATATCTACTTGGATGGTGACCAACAAACTCAATCTCAAAATAAACAAAACCTACTTCATGGTGATTGGAAAAAAACAGTAGATATCCAGCTTAACATACGGATAAATGGTTCCTCCATTACAAGACACACTGACGGTAAATTTCTACTTCTTGACCTTGACTCTAATCTTAAATTTCACACCCACATCCAGCATACATCCAAGAAAGTTTCCAAAACAGTAGGCATTCTTCCCAAAATACTGTTCTATATACCCCATAAGGCATTCCCTTACACTATACCACTCTCTAATATACCCCTACCTCACCTATAGTATTTGTGCCTGGGGATCGACCACAGCCAGTCACCTTAAATATTTAATAACCCAACAGAAAGCTGCTACTATGTCGATGAACATGAACTCCTGAGCCCGACAGCACACCTTACCATTCTTCAAGACCTTGAACTTACTTAATATAAAAAATACACTTATATTATTGTGACTAATATATATATATGTCGTGCCGAATAGGCAGAACTTGCGATCTTGGCTTAAATAGCAACGCTCATCTTGCCATATAGGACAAGTGAAAATTTTTGTATGCAATAATTTCGCCAAAATCATTCTGAACCATACCCCGGCCGGGATTGAACCCGCGGTCAGAGAGTCTCAAAACTCTAGACCGTCGCGTTAGGCACTAGACCAGCTAGCCACAATAAGATTCGTCCAACTA